TAAGTCTCTTGGGAATTTCGTCAAATACCTACTATGCAAAATCAATTACAAGGCTCTACAATGGTAATCATTTCTTCCCTCAACCAATCTAAAAAAGAGTCTACCCGTAATAGTTCAACAATGTTACATACCACCTCCCATTGGCACATGCATGGACTAACTCCTATTCTACAGCTTACTAAGACCCATAAAAACTTGCATGAAAGCTTAGGACAAAGACTTATCTGAATAGTGATGGCCTAGTGAGTGGATTTCTTGATTCTTAAAGATTGAGCAAGAATGTATGAGTAGGATGGTTGGAGCTTCTTCTTATCTCTCTCTAAAACAACCCCCCCCCCCTCTCTAAACAACTGTTTTTTGCCTTAAAAAATGACCCCAATGGCTTTTAATCAAAATAGGGTCAGTTATAAAATACACAAAATGGACCCTCTGAACCTAATCTGCTATTACAGAATGCACTGTAGAACAGGTCTGCGGTCTACGAAAGGGACCACAAAATCGCCCTCCAAAACTGGGTTGGTTTTGTTACACCCCATGTTTTCGTACGTGATAGTACGTTGTAAGTCAATTGATGTAAGCTCTGAAATAAGATCATCTTTGAAAGTACATAAAGTAATTTAACCATGTTAACTTAGAGGTTACAAATATTTAATATTATGGAATGCAAGTACCAAGAGGTTTGGAAGGCTTAGAAGCTAAACCAATTGAAGAAAATAAATTTTGTCAAATGTCGACAAGTTGGGAATGTTATAACATGTACTTTTGGGGTGATATTAGGGTGCTTAACATGATAAAGAGGTTATGTTATGAGTTATTTTAGTCTTATGATAGTTGTGTATTACATTTTTAATTCAAGCGAGTTGTGGAACAAAAGTTGGCAAAGGTCATCACAAGTTACATTCATTAATATGCTGAAAATCAGGTCAAATAGAGCTGAGCATTTCTTCCAATGTACATGGAATTATGGGATGGTCTACCTACCAAATTGAATATCTACGAGTCTAGTTTCCAACGGAGTAAACCGTTCATTGATACGATATTGGAATAGAGAGATATTTACATTTTCACAAGATTGAGTAGACTGGTAGGTGACAAGTAGGTGCATCACTTACTTGCCAAAAGTAGAGGCCTCAATTAAAAGCTCCAAGGTCGGCCAACGAGCCCTTTTAAGGGCTTATTTACTTCATATAGTACACACATAATAGATAAAAAAAATCATAAGTACACCCAGCAAAATCCTCCCAAAAAATTCAACCCAAAACCCTAAATAATTTTCTCTTCTTTTTAAGTTCTAGCTGGAGAAAAACCTAAGGGTTGAAGAATCAAGATAGGAGCTGAGATATTCACCAAATATGGTAAGTATACTGCCCTTTTTAATCCACTTTTTCTGCTGTTAAAGTAGAGAAATTCATTCAATAATTGTAAAAACTCATGGGACGGTGATCGGAAGCCGTTAGTTCGAGTTGTTCAACTTGTAGTGGATTGTTTTGTGGGCTGTTTCATGTTGTTGTTGGATTGTCTCTTTAGCTACTGTTTTTGTGGAGTTTTGGAGGAGAAAGGATGTGAAAAAATACCACATAATGGAAGGGTAGTAAGCTGGTCGTTGTCGTCACATTTTTGGATTGTTTGACACTACTATGGTTGTCATTTTTGTATGGATTGATCGGGGTATGTCGGGTTATTTTGTGGTATTTTGTGATGGATATATGGTTGGAAAATGATGTATATATATATTGTTATTGTTGTGTTCTTGTGTTGTTGGTATTATGCCGAATTAGGGGGAAGTAAAGATTATGGGGGCGATGCTGCCCATTTTGTTACAAAATAAGGTTGTCGTTCGTTGTGTGATAGTTATACCTTCCATAACTTTATGATAGTATTGTTATCATTGTTGTAGATTAAGGTGCACCAATACGCGTTTAACATGGTTATTCGACATATTGTGATAAGGTACGTTAAGTCTAAACCTTTCCTTCATTTTGGCATGATCCAGTAACTACTTGTGTTTGATAACGAGACATAAAGAGAAGTTCATATTCCTGAATTTATNGGGCCGAACACCTATGAGCGATCCCAGAATGGCCGAGATACTGAGCCTAGTATGGCCGAACACCTATGAGCGAGCCTACTACGGCAGAGCAGTTACACATACTGAGCCTTATAAGGCCAGATATCTATTTTACTTACTATATTGAGAGAGCTAAGTCAGTATCAGCAGGTAAGCATATCTTCAAATTATCTTTGACTCCCAGTTACTTTTAGTTATTATATTATCAGTTTAGTTTTAGCTTTCAGTTATTATGTTGCCTTACATACTCGGTACATTATTTTGTACTAACGTCGGGGATGCTGCATTTCATGCCTGTAGGTCCTCATTCACAGTTGGACAAACCCTCCCAGCAGACAGAGTCAAACATCAGCTTGGTTGGTAAGCTCCACTTCCTTAGATTACCAGGTCTAGACCTTGGAGTTCATTTTTATATATACAGGTTTGATGGGTAGATTGAGGCCCTGTCCCGACCATGGTACAATTTAGTTATCTCTAGAGGTTTGTAGATGAGTCCTGTATATTTTTTATATTAGTAGATGTTCATGGCGGCTTAATCGGCTGGCACAGATATATATANCCATAAATAAGAGAGACATTATTTTCAGACGATTCAGAGTATGACCTCATCGACTTAAGTTGAGGGTTACCCCTCCAGAGTTCACAGTTACAGAATGGTACGCTAGGGCCGAGTACAGAACTGGGTGCCAACCACGCCTCTTCAAGTTTAGGGCATGACAGGTCTGGCCTAGTCTGCAATAGATTAGTTATGCGGCCGAATAATACACTGCAAAATCTTCCTCCAAAAATTCTCATATTTATTCGGCAACGGATGTGCGGCCCGTAAACGGTGATACGATCGCATATTGGACCATGAAATGACCTTCAAAATTAAGTTTCACCTGGTTCGCTTCACAACGAATCTGCGGTCAGCAGAATAGTTTTGCGGTCATATAGTGGACGCAAAAATGCCATTTTCAAAAAATTTCACCAAGTCCACAATGCATTGCACAACCCAAAAGATTGCAGAAAATTATCTACAATGCATTGCCTTCTTCGGCACCATAAAACCTTAAATTCTTGGCAAAAATTTACGGGGCCTTACAAAGATCCATACCCATAATCACATCAAAATCCACCATATTAAGTAACAATAGATCTATCCTAGTTTCCTAACCCCCAATTGGTAACCACACAAGACCATAATACACGATCCACCATAATAGAGTCACCTACATGTGCAGATACATGAAATGAAATATCAAGAGAACCACTGGGCATATCCAAATAAGGAGCAAAATATGATGACACATAGGAATAGGTAGACCCCGGATCAAATAACACGTAACATCTATGATAGACTAAATCTATACTTGTAATTACAACATATGAGGCCACCGCGTCAGGTCTACCTAAAAAAGCATAGCATCGATCCTGACCACAACCTCTCTAACTACTGATGGTAAGCTATAATTACGTATTTTAGTCGTTTATTGCACTTTAATTCACTGCACTTTACTTGTTTTGAGCTTTAATTGATAGTATTTTTGTCACGCCCCAAAACCAAAGGGCGCAACCGACGCTCAATTGAGCAAGCCCGATTGAGCAAGCCTATTAGGTTTCATTCTACCCAAAATTAATTTATGAATAACAAGGAGATGAACTCCATAAATCCTACTTTATGAGCATTACATTGACAATTTTTACCTTTGTCTTTCATTAACAGTTCAACCATACTAACAAAATTATTACAATTAATAGATACGAAGGAAACATTCTGCCAAATAACAACATATCTACTTCAAATTTTCAATACCCGACACCACTCACAACCTGTATACGAAGCCTCTAAATACAATTGAAGAGTAAAATAAAAATGCCGGCAACAAGACTCCGGCTATACCTCAAAATACAAAGTACATGATAAACAACGGTACACGACCCCGAAATAAAGTGGGGCTCACCAAGTCAGCTGAAAGGGAGATGCGTCACTAGCTGCGACCAACACAGCCTGCTATGGAGCCACCTACACCCATTTAAGACGTAGTGCCCCCGACAAAAGGGATGTTAGTGCCATCGAATAGCACTAGTATGTATAACTAAACATCATCTCATGAGAAAGAACAACCATACAAGAATAAAGAAATCATAAGGATTCAATAAAAGCTTTAATCAATAACCACATCATCAAATAAAAGGAATCACATAGCTTTCACATAATTTTCATAGCTTTAGTTTGGGGCATTTAATACTGTTCATCATCATTCATAATACCACCGCTTTCTTGAGTGGAGTCCGATCACGACCCGATCGGCTAGGTTGCCTCATTTGAGATATGTGTGAGCACGTGATTTTTGCCCTATATGTAATACTCCTATAAAATCCCAAGAAAATAGATTTTTTCCTAATTATTTGCCATTATAGGATTTTTTGTGGAATTTTATTAATTGTTTACATTTTCTATGCACGTTTAATTTTATTAAAAATCATGAAAAATGACAAAAATACCATGCATTGCATTTAGGTTTGTTTTTTTTATATTTTTAGGATTAATCGGTAATTATTTGTTTTATAAAATGAAAATCACAAAAAATGCTTCATTTTTACACTTTTGCCTTTTATTTTTAGGTTACTGATTTTTCTCTTTTAGTTTAGGATTAAGTAGCTTTTATAATTTTTGTAATTAGTTAATTAGTTTAATTTCACACTTTTGGATAGTTTAAGATTTTTATTTTGTAGGATTTTTAATCAAAAGAAAAGAAAAAATTAGAAAATAAAAGAAAGAATTGGAAAAAGGGTTTATCTTGTGATATTGGGCCAATTCTCACCCACCCCAGATCTGTTCCAAAACTTCCCTTTAACCCAAGCCCAAATCCCTGCCCGACCCGAACCGACCCAAAACCCGGATCTTTTCTTATTAAACTAACCTAATAACCTAGAAAAATATGAGGAGCTCCCCCTCTCTAAAAACAAAGAGAAATGGTGCAACACCCAGGGCACCCTTCCCTTCTTCTTTTCTTCTTCTTCATTCCTCCACACACACAGAAAACTACGCACAAGAGCTCCTTCTTCTTCTTCTTCTTTCATTTCTGAAAATCCCACGCATAAGAATCAAAAAATCAAAATCAGACCTAGAAGAAACCCAAAAAAGCGGCGGATCTCAAGGAGCTAAAAAGAGCATCAGCTAAAGAGAATAAAGATTTTCGCCGATAACTATGGAAAAGCATCAGCTACTGACTCCCCTAATCCCTCTCAATAGACGGATGCTAAGTTGGAAAGAAAGAGTTCAAAAGTTGATTTTTAATTTCTTTCAATTGGTACATGTTCTCTGAGACTGCGAAAGCTGGTCCGAGTTGAAGAGTTGCTGATTTCGGCTATTTTCATGACGCTGTAGCTGTGCTTATGAGCGTTAACCTTTGTTGGTCTTATTCTGCTGCCTTTTGTTCCTGCTGTTAGGTATGTTAATTATTTCCTTTGTAATTCTCAGCTATATATGAATGAAGGTCTAAATAGTTTGCTGAATCCATGTCTAATTTTGGTGTATTCATTATGTTTGGCTACTAGATCTTCTTCCCTTAATTGCTTTGTTAAATATTTAAATCTGGATATTTTAGTTGAATCTCTTAAAATGTTGTGGTGTTGGGCGTGCCTTCACAGAATTGCTTTACATTTTTATTTGAGTTGGAATATTTTCTTAAAATTGTGCAAAGTAGGGAATCGGTTGTTCAAAAAAAAAAAAAAAACTTGGCAAAGTGAGGACCTAGTAGTTCTTTACAATTTAGTTGCAAATATGATGCAAAGTTTTGTTGATTTTTGTGAAGTACTTTGTATTCCTTTTTTTATTATTTTGGAAGTAATTTGCAGCATGATCTTAGAATATGTATTTGGCATTTCTTGTTCACTGCAGCAACTCGGAATGAGTACTGATAGATTCTGCAAGTTTTGTTATGTAAAAGTGTGCATAGTGATGACATATTTTAGGTGATATTTGTTTAGGACAATATGCTCATTGACGTTATCTAGTGACAAGCTCTTTTCTTTCAAGGGATTAGAATAGTCTGGCATCACTAATTTTATATAACATCTTTAAGATATGCAAAGGCTGGAGTTGTGCAATCATACTCATTTTGAGATTGTTGTGCATTTTTATATATCGATATTTCCATAACTGAAACCTCCCCGTGTAATTTCAAACCTTAGAAAGTTAAAACAACTCATGAACATCCTAGCTTGCTTTAGGCGCGATTAAAAAATCATCGTGGCTATGAGTACGGTGCCCGTGGCATGTTCATAATACGTAAATCTCAATTCGGGGGTGCATTTCATGTAACCCGATTATAACAACTTCGAATAATAAAACCCTTTGAAATAATTTGAGGCGTGTCATGCCAAATAAAATCCCTAAGCCCATGGCCCTCGCAAACCTAGTTAGTTTTATAGAAAATTTGAGGTGTGCCATTTTCATTAAATAACCCATGACCCTCATATAATTAATACTAACTCTTTTAAAATTGAGGTGCGCCATCAATTGAATTTTCCATGGCCCTCGCAAACCTTGTTATTAATTTGAGCTTCGTATTTGCTTTAGATGCGTTCCTTAAATTGACTTTCTTTTAATTATTAAATCCGGGTGTGCATTTCATGTGATCCAATTTCAATTCTTCACAACGTTAAATAGAACGTGTCGCAAATTGCGGGTGCATTTCATGTGGCATGGTTCAAGGCATGTTTTAAATAGCGTTGAATCTTCCTAAAATAATTAAAAGCGATTAATAAGTTAAAAAATGCACAATAGGTTAAAACATGTAATAAATCAGATAATAGGCTAATTGCAATAGTTTAAGTGACCGTGCTAGAACCACGGAACTCGGGAATGCCTAATACCTTCTCCCGGGTTGACATAATTCCTTACTTAGAATTTCTGGTTTGCAGACTTCAAAAGGGAAGTCGAATTTCCTCGATTTGGGATTTTAAAATAAACCGGTGACTTGGGACACCAAATAAACTATTCCAAGTGGCGACTCTGAGAAATTAAATAAAATAATCTCATTTCGAATAATGTCACTTTAATTGGAAAAACTCCCCTTATATCACATTCGGGTGTGTAAAAAGGAGGTGTGACAATATGTACCTCAATCACAATCTCATTCTCACTTTCCGAAATTCAATATCAGCACAATACCACCATGTGTGCGGTATGGTGTTCGATTACGGCCCGATCGGCTAGGCCGCCTTATCAAGGCGTTGTTCCTTTCTTATTAATCATCTCATTTCAATCTTTATTTCACATGTATCAATTCATAGGCACTTGGGGCCATAATTATCACATTATATTTGGCACTGGCCACATTTCATAATTCACATTCCACATCCCTTTCACTTTCAACATCAAACTTGCAATTTAAGATAATGACACATACAAGAGAAATTCAAGTTGAAAGCATAGAGAGAGATTCACATGATTTGGCATAATAATCACAAGTTAAACTTGACTTGAAATCTAGGCAATTTAGCATATAGTCCACATTCTTCACATATCACCAATTTACCAAGAATAGCATATTGAACATATTGGGACACACTTTTCACATATATTATTGCAACACTAATTCCTTTGAAATAACAAATACTACGTCATTCAAATTCCGGACTTACAATTTTACATGGACACCATGGTAGCTCAATTTCTAAGAAGAGGGGTTTTTAGCCATACATACCTCAAAGAGCTTTTCCTTAAGCTTCTACAATCCACCAACATCTCTAGCAATAAGAATCCGAAAGATAGTGAGCTAGAGATTAGCATGCTTGATTCTTGAGGGTTTGTGCAAGATTTATGATTAGGAGGCTAGGTTCCCTCTTTCTCTCTCTAAAATGCTCTCACCTCTCTCTAGATTTAGTGTAAAATAGTCCAAAATGTAGCCTCAAAGATTATTTATCAAAGTGGGTTTGGATATAAAAATTTCCAAAAATAACCCCCGAAGTCAAATATGTGGTGCAATTATGCTATAGCATAATCGAAATGTGGGCAGCATTCTTGTAGTATAATCATTATGCTATAGCATAATCAGCATGCGACAACATAACGTTTTGCCCGACACTGAGTAAAAGCCCAAGGGATTAAGCCGAGATCGTGTTTGGGGGTCGAGGACGAAGTCTGGGCATCAAAAATCAAAGTTTGATCTTTACTCTAAGAAAACACCACTGCCACGGTGCGTGGGGCGCCGCGGCTACCCAATATCTGCTGCCTATCAATTTTTGAGCTCCTTGAAGATGTCACTAATGCCCCTTATGGCGCGTCGACGCATGTGGTGCGTCTGTGCAATTTTTATAGAGTAGTAATTGTTCTATTTCGGCTAGGAAAAGGTGATTTCATTTGGGCCCGACCCTACCTGGTATAAATACATGGGAAAACGTTATTTTATGGACTTTTGACATATTTTAGACCTAAGAAGGCTAAGGAGGAGTTGGAGAAGCAAAACACAAGGATTTCATTTTTGAATCCTCACTCAAGATCTGAGTTTGGATCGTTTTATGTTTTCCTATACTTTAAACATATTTGTGATGAATTTCTCCATGTCTACGGAGTAGTTCTCATTAGGGGTTGATAGATTTGGTGTATTGATGATTGTTTTTGGATTATTACTCATGTTTTATGTATTGAATCATTTTGGATAGTTTAATTATTGCATCTATATTCACTAGTTCATGTAATCGAGAGGGGCATAACCTGTGATATCTTTGCATTATATTGTTGGTTGAGTTCGCCAATTCTTCTTAGTAATCAAAAGAGGCTAATTGAATCATTGATTAAACCTAGTTAGGAGGATAATCAAGAGAGGTTCTCCTAAAGATCAATCTATTACGAATTCTTACATATTTTTACAGAGCTTAAATTGGTTCATCTTGTGAGGTTGAGACTTAATCGAGGGAGGAGTTTCTACTAAACGTTTGAACTAATAATTGAGTGAATATGAGAGACTCACTTGAACATTAGAAGTGAATCATTTAGAGTTAGATCCCAAACAATTATATTACACCTATACCATCAAATTCCTATTTTCTCCCACTGATAACCTTCTTTGCTTACTCATTGTTACGATTTTCACTAGTCAATAGCTTTATATTCTTAGTTAATTTTAGTTAGAAATCATATAAATCTCAACTGTTGATCATCTTGGATAACAATCAACCACAGAAACTTCGAGAATACTATTTAAATCCAATCCCTATGGATACAATATTATACTATACTATATTTGATTAGCGAGCATAATTTAAGTGTGTTTCGAGCTCGTCAAATTTTGGATTTTAGTAGTTAGGGATAGAAAAATAATGGAAAAAACATAAATTTTTTAATTTTTTTTGACTTTTCCCCGACGATGGATATCATCAACAGGTTTCTTGAGGGATTAAAGTCAAAGAAAAAAGACAAAAAGATTTCTTTTGTTAGGTAGTGTAACAAGTCCCCCTTAGTTTTTCTTTGTGTCACGGTTCTTTTCCAAGAGTTTTATTTGAACCAAGTGTAGTTAGTTCTTATTTTTTTAGGAGTAGGAAACCTTGTGCCATGATTTGAATGGAAGCGATGTCTCTTGACTTCATTATACCTTGAGAATAGTGAGTACTTTAGTGTGATGATTAGGCTCAGTTTTTGACTATTGTATAGGTACCTTAATTTATATGATCTTAACTGTGGTTAACTGTTTTGACTAGAGTGTCTTGATAGTCCGATCCAGAGTGAGTTATGTGCCATGTGTGTGAGAGATTTTGTATTATTCATTGTATTGCATTTGATGTCGAGAATTTGTCCCGTGTGTTTGCAAAGCGAAATAGTAGTTTTATTCAGTCTTGGAAGTGATATAGGTGTTTCTTTGTTGAGCTAGTTATATGCTTTCACCCACCTAATCGTTATGTATCTTAGCTACCCCTTTGAGCCTGTAATCTTGTTTCTTTGGCAACCACATTACGAGCCTTACCCGTTTGTTTGAATTGACCATTTATTTGAATCTTGTATCTCTCATGAGCACTTGAATTTGTATGAACTTTGTAATAGTTGAAGTGTGGGGTGGGTGGTTTAGCTTTTGAGTGGACCTAATGAAATAAGGAAGAAGGTGCACTATTTTGAAAAAGTAAGAACCACTTGAATTGAAAAAGAAAAGAAGAAAAAAATAGTTGTATTGTTGTGCAAAATATTCTTTGATAGTGGCGACTCTTGTTGTATTTTTGCTTAAAGAGGTAAGGAGTTTATGTATATTGATGTGAATGTGGAGTTATGGTTTGACATAAGTGTGGGGTTTTGAACGGTTAAGTATATGTATTAAAGTGCTTAGGGAGGTGTAGTCACTCTTATATACAAATATATCCTACCCGTCCCACAACCTATATTACAACCGAATAAAGTCCAACTTGATCCTTGACTGAATGAGCTCAATTAGTAGAGTAGTACACTATGGGCAAGCTTATGGTACGTCTTTTGTGACATATGAATGTTATTTCTGAGAGTGAGTGAATTCTTTCTATCTTGAGTTCCTAAATGTTCTTAAATGTTAGTGTGGGTGGAACTACTCTCTATTGTTGTGTGAGGGCAGTTGATTCATAAAGGAAAGGTAATGTCGTTAACCTCTGTGTTAGAGTAAGTGAGCGGGTTATAAAAAATACGTGGTGTTCTTGAGGCGAGGATTTTACGTCTTTGTGCTTAATCTATTTTAAATATTCTTGGTGTAATGAGTTAGGAGGGTTGTTTAAGAAGGTCGTGTATTATAATATAACGTGTAGTTTGATTGCTCGAGGAAGAGCAATGATTTAAGTGTAGGGTGTTGATGGTAGGCTATAATTACGTATTTTAGTCGCTTATGGCACTCTAATTCAATGCACTCTTGTTTTGAGCTTTAATTGATAGTGTTTTGCACTAATTGTGTTTTATGCCTTGTAGGAGTGATTCTGAGTTATGTAGATGTTGTGGAGATAATTCGAGCTATTTAGAGCTTTGAAGTCAGAGTAAAAGCTCAAGGGATTAAGCCGGGATCGTGTTCGAGGGTCGAGGACCAAGTCTGGACATCAAAAATCAAAGTTTGATCCGTACTCTAAGAAAATGCCACTTCCGCGGAGCGTGGGGCGCCATGGCTGCCCAATTTTCGCTGCCTGTCAATTGTTGAGCTCCTTGAAGATGTCCACTAATGCCCCGCATGGTGCGTCACCCCATGCGGTGCGGCTATGCAATTTTTACAAAGTAAATGTCTTATTTCTGTTAGGAAAAGATGATTTCGTTTGGGCCCGACCAAACTTGGTATAAATACATGGAAAAATGTAGTTTATGGACTTTTGACATATTTTTGACCTAAGGAGGCTAAGGAGGAGTTGGAGAAGCAAAAGCACAAGACATCCAAATGCAAATCCAGGCTTACTCCCAAGTCCAAAATTAAAACTTCGATCCAACGTCAAATACACAAATGTCAAACTTGGACAACTCTTCAACTTAAAGCTTCCAAATTGAGAATCATTCTTCCAAATTAATCCCGAACCACTTGAAAACAAAAATCGTCCATACACGCAAGTCATGATACATCACATGAATTTACTCAAGACCTCAAACTACCGAACGGAATGCTAATACTCAAAACGACCGATCGGGTCGTTACATTCTCCCCCACTTAAACATATGTTCATCCTCGAACGTGCCAAGTGTCGTTACAAAGCCATTAAATTACTGTATAAACTCATCATACACATATCCATGGGCTATTTTAGGTCATATGAATCCATATAAGCATGACAACACAACCTAACTGAAGATCCTTACTTCAACTTTAGTCCATAAATATTAGAATCCAATCTCCAACATCTGGAGTTCATCATAAGACACGATTCTCGTATCTATAAACTGTATAAGCCTAAGCAAGCAGTATCAAGCCATAACTGTATTCCAAGATATAATTATATGTTATACCACATAACTCATATACCCATAGCAATAACTTTCGACCACAATAGCTACTCAATAACAAAGCCGGTACTTGCGACATACCTCATCTCAAATAAAATCTTGTCATGAACCTTCATATACTGCCAAGGATGAAAGAAAAAGAGTAGAAACTCATAACTACTCATCAAAGATCAAGTCATGGAGCTCTCTCGCCCGCCAAAACCGATAGCCAAATTCTGAGATGACTCTGGACATTATTCCTCCAACCAAATCTCAATCAAATCTGATAGCACTCCCTTCTGGTCCATTAACCTCATCTCATTCGGTACAACCTGCTCGACCGACATGCCATATCAATACCACATAGAGCTACATACCATGCAATCTATGCACCAAACAAGCAACAGGTCGAATGTGACCAATGATGAATGAAAAACCAAATGAGAGAACCTTCCCGCAAGCTTAACAAATACCACCACAAAACATAGTGCTATAAACCCATCCCACAAAGGATAAACAAAACACACAAAATAAGCACCAAGGATCATATTCCAACATAACTCTATACTCTATTACGATGCGCAACCCGATCCAAACATACCCATCCATATTAATTACCCATTTCCCAAATTCTCATATTTATCAGACGCGTGTATATCAACAGCAGGCACGTGAAAAGCATGACCATAACAATGGAGGAACTGATAGCACAATATACCACAGACCGGAAGACCATAACAATCATGTAATATAATTGAAATTGGATCAAATCACTTACCCAATAGTTTGGTATGAATATCTCTCCTCAAAATCGCCTCCTACCGAGTCTAGGATTCTAAAATATGATAAATGAAACTAAGTCCCGAAATTCCACTATTTTGATCAGCTGCTAAAGTCGCAAATATGACCCAGGGGTTCGCAAATGTGGAAAATCCATTGCAAATGTGGCGCCTGATGAACATCAAAAAAGTTGCAAATGCGTCCTTGACTTCGCAAATGCAAAGTCAGGCCCTCCGCAAAAGCGATCGTTGATCGCAAAAGCGTTTAAGCCAGCCTAGGTTCCCCAATCGTAAAAGCGATAACCAGTTCGCAGATGCGAACATGGCAACCGCTAGACCACCTCGCAAATGCGATCCCCACCTTGCAAATGTGAAGTTCGCAACTGCGAATAGTGTCTCGCATTTGCGAGACTTGCAAAACCTGCCCGACACTAGCAACTATGGAACATGACCAAATCAATCTAACACGTGTCCGAAACTCATTCGAGTTCTCGGGGATCCACACAAACCATTTACACATGTTTAAAAATATCATATGAACTCGATCGTGCGATCAAAACACCAAAATAATATCCGAAACTACGAATCAGACACCAAAACACATAAAAAACTACAATGAACTCAAGAATCGCTAGAAACACAACCATGCGTCCGATTCCTATCAAACCAACTCAGAATGACACTAAACTTTGCAGACAAGTTCCAAATGACAACAAGTACATACTCTAAGTCCCGGGACCACAATCTGAACCCGATAGCTATAAAGTAATCCTACGGTCAAACTTAGAATATTTCTAAACCTTCAAGTTTCCAACTTCGGCAAAACAAACCAAATCAACCTAGGAGTCTCCGAATTCAATTCCGGGTATATGCCTTAGTTCAAAATCACCATACAAACCAGTTGGAACCAAAAAAAACTACGACCCAAGGTCAAATACACAAAAATCAAACTTGGTCAACTCTTCCAACTTAAAACTTTCTAGTTGAGAATCATTCTTCCAAATCAATCTCAAACAACTCGAAAACCAAAACCCATGATACACTCAAATCATAATACACCATACAAAATTACTCATGATCTCAAACCATCGAACTGAATTTAAATGCTCAAAATTACCGATTGGATCGTTACAACTCACCTCAAAATCAAGTAATTTCAAAAGCAAACTGAAACCACAAATCAAAATCTACGCTGAAAGAAATTTTCTCATTACTCAGGAGAAAAACGGAACAAGCAAATCGAGATCAGAAATTATGCAAAAGTTCGTCACATCTTCTGCAGAGTCATCTCCATTAACGTAGTTGAGAGCACTAACTTATGAATCATATTGAGATCGTGTCTTTTGCTGTGATTTCTCGGGGTTACAATACTTTTCAATATTTCTTACATAGTTCTTTCATTGGGTCCAGCAACAAGCTGTGGAAACTTCTTCAATTACTTTATATTTTTTACCATCCATGATTCTTTCTTCTTAATCACTTCTTTCATGTAGTAAATAACTTGCTCCGCCTTTTCATATTTGGCTCCATTGAGAACACCGAAATATTATCTTATACCCTAGCAAAATAGTGACATCTAAGATGAAGTAATAAGTAGATGAAATTTTCACATCCATCGCCGATGAAATAAGTTGCCAATGAAATTTTCGGACTTGGTGTGAACTGGCAAAAATGTGTAACTTGAAACTGCTCATTATTATTGTGGTTTTACTCTTGTTTTTTCACGTAAAATTCTCATGTGTTATTTAATTTCGCACTTTACTATTTTAGTTGTACAAGTACCAGGTTCTTATACAAATTTCTAAGTGATGCATAATTATAACAATAGTGACATTTATGATTAAGTAATAAGCAAATCAAATTTGGCATCCATCACTGATGAAATAATTTGCCGATGAAATTTTCAGACTTGGTGTGAACCAGCAAGGTATAAGGAAATGGTGGGTTTTTCCCGAAAATGGACCATTTTCAGTTTAACCCAGGTGTCCATTATGCGTAGTTGAAAGAACACGTGACAAAGTTTTAGTTGTTTACTTTAACAAGTAGGATGTCTTGAGCCGAGGGTCTTTTGGAAATAGCCTCTCTACCCTTTTAAAGGTAGGGGTAGGGTTTGCGTATACTCTACCCTTCCTAGATCCTACTTATGGGATTACACTGCATATGTTATTGTTGTAGTTTAACAAATAGGATGCACTTGTGAATTGATAGTAGCCTATATTATACGATGTAGATGCTATTTATACTCTAAGTTAACCATACTTTATTGATGTTTTAAGTGTTAAATGATAACCAAATGCTCTAATTGAGGTTTTTATGCTTTGCAGGAACTACTCCGATTTAGGAAGAGAATATAGAGTATTTTGGGGTCAAATATGTAGATACAAGGCCAATAGAGAAGAGCCCGGATGAAAACAAGCAAGAAAAGGTGAAGAAAAACTGGGCAACAGCCCACCGCGACCGTGGCTAGAACGCAGTGAAAGAAGGCAGAAAATATAATGTTTGGAAACCACCAGGATCGTGCCGCGGTCGTGCCGCGACCGTAGTAGATCTGAAGGAAGCCAAAAAGTTTAAGGGCCAAAGTGTAAATCGTGGAAAACTTATCCTTACCCTATATAAACTCAACAAACTCGCCCAAGTTAAGGTTAAACTTGTTTTTAGACTGAATTGGAGGCAAGAACAAGTGTGAGAAGATCAAGACACCATTAGAGGTTTTCAATCTTCTTCTTGTTATCATTATTTGCGAATTATGAATGATTTTATGGTTTTATCTTGCTTTACTATGAGTAGCTAAACATTTAATCTAGGGTTGATGGAACCAATTGTTGCATGAAGTTTTGACTCAATTTTGTTATAATCGAGTCGGGTTTATTATATGATTGTTCAACTATGTTTTGTATGGTGATTAATTGAATGAACCCTTGATTAATTGTGTCTAATTACCTTGTGTTGCTTGAGAAAAAATACTATGTTAGACTACTATTGAACAACACCACTTTTGGATAATTGAAGAGATTCATTACTTGAACTTAAAAGTGGGGTTAAAGATAACGAAACTTTGGTGGGATAATTCAGAGCTGCATAAATTATCAGCTAGAGTAGTTCGTGAGAATGCTCTAGTAAATTATCGTAGTTGATCGAGAGATAATTGCGGTAACCCATAGCTCATAATCCTCATAGAGTATTACAGCGAGATTATAGCAAAAGAGTTAAGAAGTAAACTAGCAATTGGGAAAATCAATACCCTAGATCTTTTTACCATTGAATTATCTTTGATTTAAAATATTGTAGTTTTAATATCATTTTGATTTAGTTAAATAAAACTCAATACTTATTTAAAAAAATCTTGCATCCGAAAATTGTTTGAGCTTGTAATGGCATTACCAAGAGTTGCAGTAGATAGGTTAATTCCCTAAGGATTCAACTCCGGACTTGAAACCAGATTATATTTGCAACGACTGCGTTGTCTTTTATAAGGCATAGTTGGGCATGATCAAATTTTGGCGCCATTGCCAGGGAACTAACAATGTTATTTATTACAACTTAGAAGTAGTGCTAGAATTATTAGTTTAGATCAATTTTCTATGGTGATAAATAATTTTTCATTGAAATTCTAACGT